ACCGATGTTATACGGTAGTTTTTTTAAATTTTGTTTTATAGTTTATGTAATACATTTATTAATTGAAAGTATTTTATATTTAAAAAAATAAATATATTGATGATAAAAAGGTTTAAATTTCCATATCACTTTGAAAATAATACAAATTTCTTATTGAAGTAAATAATCCTGATGCAGTTTATCAATCGTGCGGCATTTCAGCCTACTTTCCTTTTAAATTCTTCACGTTCATCTTAACAGTAAAAAAACATTTATGATGTTCCCACGTTGATTTTCACTATAGTACGGATTGAAATTATCAAAATAAACTAAATATTTACGGAGCAAAATATATACTAAAAAAAAAATGATACACTAAAATCTACTATACAGTCAAATCTCTATTTGTTGATTTTTTGTATGCTCAAACCGCATTAGTCCGGTTTCCAACAATGTCGAAAATATACAAATATTTCACTAATATATCAATTTATTAAATATTAATTGTTAATGTTGTCTAATGTTAAACGTTAACGAATAGTTGATATTTGGTAACAATTGGATGAACATGACTTAATTAAGTGGTTCACGTGCAGTATAATTTATCTTTTTTCAATGTAATCAGACTTGAAATTTATGGCGTTGTTAATATGCAACATCCTTCGTATTGTAATCTAAATCCGCAGCAGCAATTTACGAATTACTTTTTATATACGTAAACTGGAACGATTCGCATAGGGATTAACAAAAATATATATATATATATATTATGATACAAACATGATGATGTTCCAAATTTTTTCGTAATCTCAAAGAAAACCTATTTTTTATTATCCAGACTGATTGAATCCGATAACAGATCGGAATTTCGATAAAATTTGACATCATTACACACACCCACCGCATCTGAAATGATAAGATTGAGCTGCAATATTTTTGTTGTTCATCACGAAATCATTCGGTTTCCAACATGAATTCTGCGTAGTTTACGTGCAGAAAATTCCCAGATGCTTCTCGGAACAGAAGAAGAAAGAAAAAAAGATCCGCGGGAAAGGAAGCTAAAATTTCCTAAACCATAAATACATATCAGTTCTATACTTATCCCGTAGATAATGAACTTTCATTCATTCATTGGACACGTACAAAGTTTCCACAGAGCCTTCGGAAACGTTTCATATGCAATTTGGACGGACATATATTGATCGGGGAAACGTTTCCTATATATTTTTTTTTAATTTATAATTATTCCATATCGCGCTTTATTAATAACTTGTAACATTTAAAAACGGAATGCGATATCACTGAGAAACTAATTTTATTAAGTAATAAATAACGATTGTGTTTATGCTTATCCACTATGTGGATGCGTGCGTTCGCAATCACACCTGATAAGATTCATTTTTCCATTGTTTTCCCTTATGACTAATAATAACATCAAATGTATACTGCAACAAAAAAAAGTATAGGAAAAACAAATTGCGCCTCGATTGTTGCATGTTAAATATTTACTGGAATAGAACAATATTTAGCGACAAGCGGTGATTAACTACGTTTATTATTATTTTTACCCAGCGCGCACAGGTTTAAAAATTTCTATGTTATGTTAATTCTAACATTTGCGAGAAAAGATTTTTCCGGATGAAAGGCGAATCGTTTAATTCAAACATGTTTATGGGATTTTCCTGGGAATATTATTTACATTCAATCGTTGCATATTTTTATTGTTTATAACACATTTTTTATGCTACAACAAATACACAGATGTAACATGTCTATTTCTGTTTCTTTATTAATTTATTTCCAATAGTAATATTATATATTACTTTTACCGTTGTTAAAATCAATGCTTCCAAAAAGACAGGTGTATGTTACAAGTTTGTGAAACACTGCACATTACAAATATTGAATTTACATAAAAATTAAGTCTTTTATAAAAATATCAATATTTATGAATACATAATTGAATATAATCATATTTCGTTTAATTGAAGAAAAGGTCTTTTGTTGTTAGACATGTTTTACTGTCAAGGTTTTGTGCAAACACAACCATGATTTAACCATAGGATTAGGGATTAAATATAATCATATCTCGGTTAAAGTTACCTCTTTTAACAAAGTCCGCTGATCACTTTTGTCCTATAGGAATATGAAATTGTTTAAAAAAAAATTGAAGAAAAACGTCTTTTGTTGTTAGACATGGTTTCCTGTCAAGGTTGTGATTCTTCCAGCAAACACAATTTCCATGATTTAACCATAGAATTAAGGATTAATAGCATCATTTAAAGTTTGTGTCGAACATTTATCAATTGAATAAAACTAGAGGATAGAGAAAATAAAAACCCAATTGAAAAAGTCACTAAAATGAGAAAATATATAGCCAGAAACGGTACTAGAAGAAGAAAATGTAAACGAAACGAAATGTAAATCCAAAGATTTTAAAATGTGCTTAAAGGACATTGATTTTGTTTTACTTATTATTAAGTGATGAAGAAATAACATAAACAATCAACTTTAGACTCATATTTTAAGTGTCTTCACTTAGTATGTAAGACTATTTATTTACTAAAACTTTTCTTGGTTCGAAGAAAAACTATTCATTTTCTTTACGAAAGAACGTGGCAACAGAAAAAAGTAACTTTTGAAGAATTTATTAACAGGACGAAGTCTATTCTTCGTTTCGATTAAAACGCATAGATATACTTTTTGAATGCTTGATGGATTTGTAAAAAAATGTATTTTCGAAATGTACAGTGTATTTTCGAAAAACTTCATAATCTTTAGAGGTACATCTTGATTTTAAGTGATAAGTTTATAGAGTACGAAAGAAACATATGAATGTACTCAATTATTTTGTTTTTCTATATTCATGGGACTTTCCGATTTACCTGAAAGCCAACGGACTGCGATGTAAGCAAAAACAAGGTGTTTTAACGACAGTCTATAAATACATTTGGAATACCTCAAATAATATTTGTATTCCAGTTACAAATCATGCAAGCAAGTGTTCTAAGTCAAGGGCAGATCGCGTAAATGAAATAAATATACTATTGTGCTGGAAGCCTTGGGGAATGTTCAAATGGTATCGGAAGACATTGGAAACGTTTAATATAATATGCACATTAGCGTCAACTGTCTCGGAAGTCACCTTAGTTAGTTCAGCGAACCAATTTCCACCAGGAAACGACGAAAGTACGCATTAAGCATAAAAGAAGCGACGATCAGCAATTTACCTTCGATACATCTAACATTTAAAAATTATAATCGTCGTAACAACGATGTTTCTCTCTCTTTTTTTTCTGCCGTAATTCCACGAGCGTTAATCATATCCATGCGATAAAAAAAATACGAAGGTGTTAGTAAATACTTTTTTTCTTCGATTATGCATTTATAATGTCAAAGTGACTTTGAAGTGGTTTATTGGGATACTGAAATTATTGCGGATTCATGTTTCTTAATCGAAACTGGGAAAGCATTACATAAGAAAAGCATAAAAACGTTGATAAAAATAAATATTAGTCTAAATTAGTCACAAAATACATATCTAGAGATAATAGAAGACCTAAATACATTTTTAATATGAACATGCAAAAGACATGTTTCTTAGGATTTCTTCACTGTTCAGATTAAAACTAAATGAGTAAAAACTATTAATAAAACTGATATAGTTTTTTTTTAATTAATATAAGATACTTACTAATAATAGATTGATTTAAATTATTGAAAATGTGAATGTACTATGTAGAAAACATGTATCCTTTGCATTAACTAATTTATATGGAAACACACTTTTACAGAAAAAACTAATCTAATATGTTTTGTCCCATTAATTATGTTTCCTTAATATTACATAAAAAATAAACAAAATTTTATAATAAAAACATTTATTGCAAGAAATCACCATAATACAAACTCAACAAAATAAGAAAATTAAAACAAGATGTATTTGCTGCAAAGGGCCATTTATTCATGTAAAATGTTATTGCTAATACAGATATCACCCGAGTTACGAATTCCCGGACTTACAAACAAAATTCTAAAAGCTCTGTCCAAACAAAAATTGATAATTTCTTCAATAAAATATAATATTTTTAGAAGATGTACTATTTGCTTTGTTCCATTTGTGGTTTTTTATAAAATAATTGTTATGTCTACATTGAAAAAACTTATTTTTAAATAAGTATTTTGTTTATTTTAATCAATTTTTTCAAATTTATGCAGTCAGTAATACGGAATTTAACATATATAAAAGTAAAAACCATGATAAAGTGTGGTAAGATAAGTATATTTTGAAATTTTAAAAATTCCCCCGACTTACGAAAAACCCTTTGGAACGGAACTAGTTCGTAAGTCGGGGGATATCTGAATTAATATTTGAATTGACATTTTTTGAAAACTTTTGTATAAATAATTATATTTGATTTTACTTTTGTAATAAATATTGTTATTATTAATAAAAAACTTGATTCATAAAATTATAACTGCAAATTGAATTTTATAAACTTCCGATGTTTTTCCGTATCGTAAATAATTTGTTTCCAGAGAAACAAACAACATTTTAGATACATAAATTTAGTGATTTACATTTGTGTTGTGTATATAATTATTATCCATCATTTTACCAGGTATTTTCAATACTCCAGACTATTAAAAATAATTGAATTAATGAAATATTATGGATATACTAAACAACAAATTGAAATAAATTAAATCTGATTATTCTTGAGGTTTCCTTTTATTGAATCAAATATTTTATAAATTAATTGCATATCCAACATTTTCTTAAAAAAATTCACAGGGAACGAGTAACTTCTTCTTTAGGAACAAAATACATTGGAACCTCGCATAACGAATTGTAAGAAAAATGACTCGCTTAACGAGCGACGTTTCGCATAACGAGTGACGATGAGAAGTCCAGGATTGCGCACCTGCTACATCATTTTCAAGACTTATGTAAACATATTATGAGCCTTTTTGAAAATGTTTCACTATGCGAATAAAAATCCGGAAATTTTGGAACGGATTAAACTCGTTAAGCAAAGTTCCACTGTATATGGAAACACCGCAATATTTTTAATGAAATGTAGGCAACTAAATATACATCGGATTTGAAACTCTTCATTACTAGGCTAATGAACATAAATGATAATTAATGTTTTATTATTAATATGAGATTATTACACAATCGTTTCATTTTAATGATCAATCAAAAAAAATATAAGCTTGAATCGAAATGAGTCTCCTTTCATGTCTCTTTTATATGCGAATACATAACACATTACAATAAAAGAAAATAATATATAATAAATATCACATACATGTTTACAATTGCATAAATAAAAATTACAATTAATTGATAAATAGATCTGTATATATAATATCGACTATAAACGAATTCGAGCGCACGAAAAACGCATTTATTCAAGAACATTTTAGTTGATGGATTTCTCAATAAAAATGTAATTAAACAGATGCGTTTCTATCAAACAATACATTATGTTGCCTGGGAATATATATGTAGAGAGAATCAACCAAGAAATAGACTACCGAAATGTACAATATAAAAATATAAATTTGTGCTAAACTACGCCAACGTTGCTCCGAACAATTAACATTTAAAAAAGATTATATAATAAAAGAAAATTATCAAAACGTTGTCTTTGATCACTTTCTTCCGCATCCTGAATTTAGGTATCGCTTTTCTTCTTTTATTGTAAATATGTACATATTAAAATCCGTACATATATTTTGGACACAGCCTTTTACACAGATTTACTATGACCTAAAAAAAATTCCGCTATGTACATTTTAAAAACGAGATTCCATCTGTCCTGACGAACAGCTAAACGAGATTCATCAGATGGACGGAAAGATTTGCACATCAATCCTCTTTGTACCCATGAAATGTATGTATATATAATTCAATATAAAAACACAACAATCGGAAAATCGAAATGTTATTGCTAACGAATAAAAAAAAGAGTACTCTGTGTACTTTCCTCACGATTCGTTCATCGTAGAACTGCACTTATCTAAAATTTGATTAAAACTTTGCTTACCAACGTTCGGACTGACCGTCTGAATGCTTTTAAAAAGTTGATCGACCGACAGATCGTCTGGTAAACGAGTGAGGAACTGCGAGCCATGCAAAAAGTCCATTTTCATCAGTTGTTCTTGGTTCATGTGCAGAATGCCCAGAGCGGTTCTGAAAATAAATTCCTCGCCATCCCTTAAAAACAAATCCCACACCCTGCACGCAACGTCCAATGGCATTGCTTTAGCAAACACCGTGTATATCCAATCTAGCAAGTACAGGTCTGGAGTCAGACCAGAGTTATCAAAGTGAGCAAACAGTTTTGGGAGGTTGTAGTTGAAGATTTGATTGTACGCATTGAAATACGCCTGTATTTGATTCTGATTCAATGTGAATGCGGCAATATGCAGAGGCTTATTTAGCAAATTCGCGAAACATACAAAAGCATCGAATGGTTCCATATTGAGAATGAGTATGGCCGCAATATAGGACATTCCTTGCACGTAGCCCACATCAGGTCTATAACAAACATAAGCGGCCAGCAGCGAATGCAGAACATCGGAGTAAGGTCCGCCTTCTTGGAAAATACACAGATTAGGAAATGTTCTGGATATATCTAACTGTATCACATCCATGCTACTCTCCTGGTCAATATCAGATTCACTTTTTGGCGGTTCAGGACTGCTTAGTCTGTTCTGAGCGCGGGATAAACAAATCTCGTATAGTTGTTGACTGAGATTCAAGTCATTACCAATTGCCAGTCTCCACACTTTACCCCTTATACTTGAAGGTAGTCCCAGCCACCACAGATCTCTAGTTTTTCGAGTATTATACCTAAAACAAGCATACAATAAATGAAAAATACTTAACAAAATTAAATAAACTTACATATTATCCCAATTTGGAAGAACATTTTGTGTAAAGTGTTTAGTAGATGAAGCATATTGCTCCTCCAATTGCAGCTGCAAGCGCTGCTGCTTCTGTTTAGCAACAGAATTTTGAGCTTCCTTCTTTTTAGCAGCAGCAACAATTGCTTTGTATTGTTCTCTGTGTCTTAGCTCCTCCTCTTCAGTTTTAGCAGGCAAATTAGATGGTCTCATATGTTGGATAAGTGCTGCAGAACTGACAACAACATTTTGATGCTGTGGTGAACCAGGATTATCTGCAGCAGTTTTTGAAAATATTTTCCAAACTGAATTTGAGGAGAACACATTCTTGTTAAAGAAATTTCCCAAACTCTTTTTAGTTTTTGGCTTGGCTCCAGATTCTGAGCTTGCTGGAGAAGATCTACCTTCACTGTCAAGCAGACTTCCAGACTGTGAAGCATCACTTAAACTTGATAGAGTGCTTGAGAATGAGCCTGGATCATTTCTCTTATGACCAGGCTTTTTATGTTCAGCCTCTACAGACTGTTGCTCATTATGAACTAGATGAAGTTGCTTAGTAACTGGGCTGTAAGCTAAGGAAATATTTTGGAGAGCTTCATTGAGAGTCACCTTATGTTGGTTGGTCATGATTTTATCACATGTTTGTGAGGTCTCAGCATCATTGCATTTAATTTTCTCACATCTCTCTGGCCATGTCTTGAACCAGAGGTCTTGAGTGGGTGAATGTGGAGGACTTTCATTGTTGTTCAACAACTTGGTGTTTATATCACAGGTTTCATAATTATCAGAATTCCCATTTATCATTTTATTCTTCTCATCCAGATCATTTGGTAGGCTGTGGCTGCGGGAATCTTGTGTCACTACACCAGACTTTGAGAGGACACTCTCATAATACTGCCCTTTGTGACCCATTGGTGATTGCTTTAACACGTTGTAACTTTGAGCCAAGTCAGAATTGCATTTCAGCAGGGCCTTTGACTCAATCAAAAGGTTATTTGGGTTTAAACAGCTGCTAGCTTCGTTATCTGGATCCAAAGTTTTCATCTCCCCAATGGCCACTTTCCACTCACCTCTTTATCACTTAACACTAAATAATTTCATTTATTCTTCTATTCTCATAATAAATATTTACAATAAATAAAATAAACTGATTTTTTTTGACAGCACATAACAATAATATTCGCCATTTTGTTCCAACCTTCACATACCTAAAAATCTTTCATATTTCAACAATAGATGGCAGCGCAACGCCAAAAATAATAGTTATACACATAATTATTATGAATATAACAAATTACATAATCTTGTAATAAATTAATGCAAAATTAAGTATTTAATAAAGGAACTTTCATATTCTAAACAAAGATGGAGCTACCATTAAGTATTACTTGTCACAAACGTCATTCTATCATATGTCAAATTTGACAAGTGAATCAAAACAAGAGCACCGATGTAAACAGTAAAGTGAAAATATGTATTAAAATGTTACGAAAAGAAGCAAAAGATATTATAAACTTAGTTAGAAATGATAAAATAACACGTTCCATTGCCATATTTGTGTTCTTGTTGACGATTTTAATTGCTATATCCTTTAGGTAATAAATCTACACAAAAATCTATGATTTTTTTTTATTCTCTACTAAATATATTTGTTGCAGCTTAATCTCTGGCTTACTAATATTGAGTAGCTACATATTTGGCTTCATATTGTGTGCCTCTTTACTCAAGTATCAAAAAAGTGCATCCATATGTTTACAGAGATTTGTCAGTATTTATCGAGGCCACTTCTCTCCATACAAGAAAACCAAAGATAAAATTTGCTCAATTTGCACTGAAAATGGATGTTCCAGGCACTTGCATAACTCTAACAGTCCTTGGAAGCAGTTGATTATAAACAAAAGACTTAATGATGCTGTTGAACATGTAACATACATTTAAATAGTTAAAGATTATTTTATTATATAGCTTTATTTTCAGTTTTTTAATAGGATACTAGATCAATTTGTGCTTTCTTGGTACACAATTTACACAAATGATTTAACATTTGTTAGTGAAATAAAATACTCTATCAAGTATGCATCAGCTTCAATAGTGACAAAGTTTCTTGAGTTGGACATTGGGAAAATCATTACTAACAAATTGATTCCATGTGCCATTAAACATGTTGATGATCATCTGTGTATGGTTCAGATTGGTGAGCTCAAGAATGTTGAAATGAATAAAATTGCTGTGGAATATTTGGGAAAGAGGCTTCATTTTGCAGCAAGCAATAGAAATAATGAACTGACTTATTTAAGACATTTATCCATGGCTTTAATAGAGAGAATCTTGCCAAGTGATAACTTAAAATCCAAGTAAGGAAAAATATTTTTTAATATTAGAACCTTTAATAATAATTTGCTTGGTTTAGAAACTATTCAATTCTGTTAAGGGAGATTATTTCTGGTTGGGTTTTCTTACCAATGATGGATGTCTTAGCAGATCCTAATATTATTAACTCATTGGTGATTTTAATTACCACATACAAGTCAAAACCTGGTGATGCTTCTATAGGGACTGTAGAAGATGTAGAATTTTTGGAAAACTTCTCTAAAATGCAACTCAGCAATTCCTCGCTGGGTACTGATTTGAAAACGATTTTAAAAAATCCCACTCAACTATACGCTTTTATGCAATTTTTGAAAAAGGAGGGTTCAGTAAATATATTAAACTTCTGCATGGACGTTGGTAAGATTCAAATAGATTGGAACCTCGCTTAACGAGTATAATCCGTTCCAAAATTTCCGAATTTTTACTCGTATAGTGAAACATATTCAGGCGCGCAATCCGGGACTTCTCATATCATCGTCATTCGTTATGCGAAACGTCGCTCGTTAACAAGTTCTTACAATTCATTTTGCTCGTTAAGCGAAATACTCGTTATGCGAGGTGCTTGTTAAGTGAGGTTCCACTGTAAATTGTTTTTAATTGAGGGACATTGCTTGGATTTCAGAGGCCTTCAATGGAAAACTGCTGATGCCTGATTTATCTAAAAAACAGTTACAGGATTTGCATGCTGAAGCGCTGAAGATCTATAATGTTTACATGGATCATAAGAGTATAGATTTCATAGGCTGTGATAATGGTATTTGCTCAAGCTTAAATAAGCTATTAGAAGATGGGGTGTACAACGTGGCTAAGCTGCAAACATCGGAGCCATTGTTTCAGGCATACGATTTTGCATTTAACTTATTAGAAACTGAATGGATGCCTCAGTTTTACCATAGCAATGAGGTAAACAATACGAATGGATAAAATTGTTATTTATTTTTAATTCGTTGCAGTTTTACAATATCATTTGCGGGTCGAAGGCGACGAGTGGGTACTCAAAAAGTTCGATCAAGAGGTAAGTGTGTAGTTGTTGTTTTAATACGCTTTTAACTAATCCGCTACATTTATTGCTAAGCCCATTTATAATACACGGATCACCCGTAAAAATAAGGTAAACTCGTAGATTGAAAGAAGTTGAATTGTAACGAATTTGTTACTTTACTTTTGTGTTTTGTCCTTTAGGAATAAAAAATATTACGACTCTAATAATCAAGGAGCAGTGTCCAAAATTAGTAGCAGTTTCGGTAAGATTAAAGGTGCTTTACAAGCGAAGCAACCAGTCGAGGGGGCGGTTTATCCGCACGAATCACGGATCCTCGAATCTGATCACACTTATATTGAAGAGAGCGAAATGTACACGCCTAATCGCGATTTAACAGCTTGGAGGATATCCATTCCGAACATTGAAACTCATCAAGTATTATAACAACATTGCTGTTTGGTTTAAGTTAAAAGAAAATACTTTTTTTTTAGTACGGTACGAAACCTATGGCCATGTTTGCTATACATGTGCAGCGAATAGATGCAATTTCTGATCACGAAATCAGGCATTGGATTGTGCATAGGAAAGACCAGGACTTTTACACGTTGAAATCTAAATTAATTGAATTCCATGGTGAAACGGAGATTTGCAATTCACCTTTGCCATCAAGAAGGTAATTTTTCTTTTAATTTAATGTATTGGTAAGAAAATACAAATAAATAATTATTAATTAGAGTTAATTATTATTAAATGATTAAGCGATGAAAAATTATTATACAGTCAAACCGGTTTTTACAAGGAAAATTATGTCAAATCAGATTTCCCTAATTAAATCTAAAATTTTATCTGCGTATAAATAAACTTGTTGCTAATTTTTGTTTTCGTATAAGTTAATTAATAGCAGAATTTGTATTTATTTTCATGTTAAATTTACTAGTAAAATATTATTAAGTTCGAGTATGTGAATATGTATATAATTAATGAAATTGTATTATTAACAATCAGTATGGTATTCATAAAATGAATTATTCGTTATAATTAATCGCAAAGGACTTTTTAATTGTAGAAAATTGAAGGATATAATAATTAAGCTTTGAATATAATCATAGAGCAGACAAATAAGAGGATAGGGAATACGAATAACATATCATATATTGTCCCAGATTACCAATTTAGTTGTTTGTGTCTTTGGAACTGAATGTCATGAAATGTATATCCATAGATTACTACAACTTGCGTTGAAGATTGCGTTATTTTTACTATTTTTCTTTTTATAACTGTTTACTTGTGATTAAAATTATATGATAATATTATTATTAACTAAATCATGACTAAACGTCTTAATTGACATAAAAATACGTTATTTGATTTAGAAAATATTAAATTAGTTTTAAAAATAATTATTTGTACATAGATGAATTTGGTTATCAATTTTAAACTGTAAAATCTGTACAGAAAATAATGAAATATTGTGTGTTGATACGGAAATGGTAAAAGTATAACATTTTTGATGTGGATATTGGGTATGTAAAAGAAAAATCGTTTTGTATATTTATTAGTTTAGCAGTTATCAATGATTACTAATAGTCTCAAGAAGGAATTATTTTAGGAATATTTTACCAATGGAAATAAGAAAGAGAACGTACGAGGATTTCTTGAAAAAGTTACTGGAGAAGCCTTTGCTGAAAGGTAGCGATTTACTTCATACATTTCTCACAGCGAAAACGGATTTCTCTGTATCCATTAGTGCATCGATGCCGGTAGTCGATTTAGAAAATATTTACCAGTCCGTAGCGTATAAACTGAGGAAGGAGAAGGGCCAGCATCTGGATCCGTTCATGGTGACCTTCCTGAACTCAACGGGTCGCCAAAAGAATAAGTACATAACAGAAAACGGGACCACTTTTCTCCGATACTTTCATTTCTGATATTTGCTTTAGCAAAATCGAATGGGCCGAAGTTGGAGACGAAGTTGATCCGCTCTCGGGAAAAGACTCCAACCCGTATCCGAAAACGATGGTAAATAAAATATTCGGCGACAATTTCGGTGTGGAGTACAAGAGGGAAACGGAAAGCAGTTCGAGTTCAATAAATCCCAACGGCATTACGGAATCGCTGTTCTATTTATGTAAACGCCACCCGTAATCGCGCGTGCATCTTACTGATTCATTTAACTTCTTACAGTAAAGCACATCTTCAAGGTTCACACGGCCATATTGAAGCTGTACGTGGCGGTTTGCAGCGTCGGTCAACAGGCTATAGAATCGATGAGTCGTATATTCATCGATCGCAAGATCAAATCGGCTTTACCCCAAAGTACTCTTGCCTTTTTAATCAAAGAGTTAGAAGGTTTGGCGTTTGAGTGGATCATGTGATGAGAGTTTTTTGATCGTTTCTTCGTTGCAGATGTGATTTTTGCCAAACACATTCCGTCCACTGCGGAGCAGCTGCTCGAACGGAAGAAGCGAGCTTTTACTGAATTGGATCAAGCCGTTCCGGGACTTTTAGGGAAGGATTTTCGAAAGGGCGTTCTTTTGCTATTGGAGATCCTCCAAAATCCCTCGTATAATAAACAATTAGTTTATAATTTAATAGACATTGTCGTGGCGGAGATGTATCCAGAGTTGGACTGCTCCGATGACTTTTAAAGTACTATTTCGTTCACTATTTTGTATAATTTATTTCAATATAAGTATTTATTTTAGAATGATAACAACATTTATTATAACAATCATAAAATTATATGAATAATTACAAAAACAAAAAACAGTAAGAAATAAAGAAAAAACTGCATGAATTATTGTAATGAGTTATTGGCTTTGCGCCCTATTTATATTAAAATTATGTTTTTTTTATAATTTCCGCCTATTGCTGGAAATTTTCCAAAATTGGAATTTTGGTAGTCCGTCGAGTAATTTGAATATATATGCAATTTTCGCCTTATTAAGTTTAAGTACCATTTCATATTTAGAATCTTAATTTTTTGGAACAAAATCTTTGTATTCAATGTCTGAGGACAAAAAGGTTGGCGATCGTTGGTCTATATCAGAGTTTCTCCACCTTCTTCAATGGGAACGCATCTACTGCTTCCACCACTACACTTAGTTCAGTTTCAACCTAATATATTGTATGAGTTGCGAAATGACAGCTTGAGTACTACTACAACGTTGGGGTCATGAATCAAAATAGTTGGGAAACGCTGATCTTTATAGTTGTGTAGTTGAACTGTTCCTTCTACTTCTAAATTTTATTTTGTACAATAAGTATTTATTTTGTTTTTCTGTAATAATTTCCATTATATAATTCGCTCAAAGCTATATCTATTGATTGATAAAAAAAAATGTGCGTACAAAGGAAACGCGGCTTCAGATGATTGATTAATTTCTCTCTCCCTTAGGAATTACATTATATTTGTGTGTTTGCTTCGGGAAATTGAAAATTTTAATTAGCAGCATCCCCCCCAATGTACGCATATACCAGGTGACCAGGGAAAGTAGGAAATTTTTCAGGTATAAAGTTAATTACGGTTGGAGACGAGAAACAATGTGACATCGTCGGTAATTGCCAAATCTTATTCGAAGGTTGACAAAGCATGCTTTTTATGCAAATTCCTTTTGAGGGCGGAGGAGAAGCGAGTTTAAATGTGTCGACACTGTATATAAATGAAATGCGATTATAACACCTTCTATTCTCAGGGTAAATTTCCATCGCGGCTTAAAAGGAGAATTAAAACGCGTCCCGCTTTTCCATTTCATTACGCCGTAAAAATGAAACTTTTCGAATATGAAATGTATCGTACAAGGACGTAAAATTATCTGTGCGTTTCATTTTACTTCTTTCGTTGTTTATTTTTTGATATGGATGTGTATGCACGACTATGAATTATTCAACGAGGATTAATTGAAATTACAGAAAACTCATGAGCTGCTATTTATAGAACACGTCGGGTCAAATGGAACGAAGAGGAGGCTCTTAGTCTCTGTTGTTTCAACGCTGATGACCGGAAACGGAAGCTTCGCCAACAAAAAAAAAACGTGCATCGGATGAGAAGAAAGAAACGATGAAAAGGAGAAAAAAAGTTGTTCGGGGCGAGTTTAAAAGGGCAGTAAAAACGAGATTTTCGTCTTCCTTCGGGTTATTCGCCTTCGGGCTTTTTCATTCAAATGTTGAAGTTCCGTGTAGGCAAATTAAATAGTTCTGATGGACTAGTTCTTCTTGAGATACTGGGAAATTCGATTAGAAATTCGCGTGGGCGTCTCCTCTCGGTGTTGTATATTTTGTAATGAAGCGTTTGTCGTATGGAAATCGAGCTGATTTGCAATGCAAAGGGCTAAACTATCTCCCCTTTCGAAGCAGCACTCTTTTTATTTTGTACGCACAGCTTCTAAAACAAATAAAAAAACATAAAATGTATACAAGGGAGATCCGAATGGCAATTATGGATCAAGGTGAATGAGGGCTCAAACCCTTGGTACGATTAAATTAGAATTATCGAGTCGCCTCGAGATGAAAAGAAATTAAACTGTAAATAAATGGTGTTCGCCGTCAAAATATTTTTAATAAGGCGAATTAATTGGGACCCAATTACAAAATATGTTTTTCGACGCAAAAGTTTTAATTGCCTTTCGGTAATTACGACACCGCGCCAGTTTGAGGGTTGAATTCATCTTCCATTTCTTGCTCTTCATGTTTGCAGAGCAAATTCGCCTTTACAATCAACCACGGAGGAGTGAAAGAGACACAAGAATAGGAAAAACAAGAGAGAGATGCACCAGAAATAGTGTGAAAACAAACGAAAAAAACTACAAGCCTGCTTCTGTTGCGCCCAAAGGCAAAAACACAATACGCTGCTGTTCACACGGGATTAAATTGATGCATCTGATAGGAACGCTTCCAATGTTTCCATTTTATATGTGAGTATTGGAGGATAATTGGTTGGAGTCGTGTATAGCAAATATCTTGCTTCCGCTCTCAACTATCGATCCCAAAATTTCACCGTCAGCAAACCCAAAATTTCCAGATTCGTACATTGCGAATCCACCCCAAGATAAATCAGATTAAATAATTAACGGTGACATTATGCAAATACTCTACGATAAATTTTTATTGTCCAGATTTAAAGCCCGCAAAAACTATGAATTATACAACAGCACAAATGGACCGGTCAACCTTTTGTAAATCCCTTGAATTTATTCTGTTTTGATTCATACGTTCTGTTTACGTACGTGCGTTTAGCATATAATTTACATTTAGTTTAGTTTTCATTGCTTACGTCGTCAATATTTACCTAGCGCATCCACCACTTTTCTCTTCAATTATTACTACCATTAAATTAATAAAAAATAATAGTTTTACCGTTAGAATTTATATTAACAAATTACAAGAAAATATTTACTGTTGTTTTTTCAGAATACTTCAGTTTGTGTTTAATCATTACGAATAAATATATGTTTGAATTATCAATCTTTACCTTGCGCATCCACCTATTATTTTTATGGCCATACAAATTCCTATTATAACTAATAAAATAAGTAACATACTTTCAGTTATATTTTTCATATTTGTTTTCTCTACAACAGATCTTCAGTCGATGAGCTAATTTTGCTAATGGCGAAACTGTCTCACTGTTTGTTATGACGTTTCCATTATCAATCAATTTTTATTACATTTATTGATCGATTGTGATTGATGATAATTACTAATCAATTAAACTTGTTTGATTGTCTAAAACTAAGCAATAATAGTAAAAAAAGATATAATAAATACATTGTGTAGATATTTAGATTAATTATAAAATATCTATCTATAAAGGAATGATTAAGAACATTACAAAGTAAAACAGATAGTAATAAAAATCATTTATCTAAATAATCTATATTTCATTAATAATATTTTTAAATTTTTTGTTGTTTGAGAACATTTTAATTGATTAATTTTGAATAATTATATTGATTATTTTATTATACAAAGAAACCTTATCTATTTAGGATTTTTTTTAAATTTAGACGTAAAAACTTAGAATTACATTATTATAATTGTACCAATGTGCTTTGATCAAGTGTATTTTTTTGTTCCAAACATATTTTTTGTTCTTCATTTTCTTATTTCATACGTATATCTAATTCCAAGATTACTTCCATATCTTCGCTTTATCCAGCGGCGACATTGTGAGAGACATGTGGTCGAAGACTTGTCTCTCTTTTTCCGACATGTAATTGCTGTGCGTCAGCATTCACAGCAGCAAAATCTATTATGTATGTACAATTTTCTTTTAAGTATTTTTGTTTTAAATTTGTTTCTTTAATCTCTTATTCATATTTAAGCAAAAAAAGCAATTTTAAATTAAATGTTTTCATAAAAGAATACAATTATTTTGTTTATAATTAACTTCATTTAATATTTACGACAATGAAGTTAATTGTTATATTGTGAATGAAAAACTTTATAATAAATAATTATGTTTTTGTAGTCTACAGCCTCGATCAATGCGGATTCATTATAGTACGGTTTGAAAATTTCAAATCAAACAAAAATTAGAAAAAAAAATTCCAAAAAAAAATCAACACAGTTCAACACAATTCAGATCTGATTCAAAGAGTAAGGGATATTGGTAAATGCGATTACCCGCACTATTCGAGGTATTATTAAATATGGTAAATGATTGATTCTATCATAACAGGTTGTTTCGAATTGTTTACGTCCTTCTATTAAGCTATGTCATCTCTGTATTGTAATTAAATGACATTAAAGTGGTGTCATCTGCGAATGAAGTAACCATTGTTTGTTTTGACGTTAATTTGATGTGAGTCAACTAGAATCGAGTACATTTTATTGTTATGTAATAGGACAGATTTGTGCTTAAGTATGCTTCAATCACGTTTACTTCTTTCTACTATATTTACGGAAATAAAGTACCAAATTTTAGATTTTGATATAAAATGGATAATAAAAACTGTTTGAAATATAGAAAAAGTTCTGTTGCATTAAAATAATTTATGTGCATGCAAATGGAATGACACGTTTCAGTGAAAACAAACAATGAATGGTAAATAAAGCACGTGAGAGTATTAAGCGTTGAAAGTTTATTGCGAAGTGTTTCAGGCTAGTTTTAATTAAAAAAAAAACTCATACGGATATGCATAACATTTCAATGGCAAATATGTATAAAACAGTTTGCGCTACTTCCACTCTTTAATTAGATTCCATTGAAATAAAGTTAATATTTTCTGCCACAAATCAAAGTTACTTAAAATCAGTAATTCACAAAACTTATATTTAATATTTATGAAAAGTTAAGTAAATTGTCTTACAGATAATTATCGAATTGGTGAAAATTGAAATATTTGTTATTTGAAATAAGTTGAATTTAACATCAACATTTTACACATATCCATAATCTTGTTATTGTGTCTGAAATTGTCATGGTCGAATAATGTATAATTTTTTTCCATTTCTATGATTTAAATTGTCAAATTTCAGTAATATCAAACTGCAGCATTGTTTAAATAGCAAAATGTATATTTGCCACATATTAATTATGTTAAAGTGGACAATTGTCAATGACCAAAATTATCATAATTTACACATGCCAACTATTAATAATCTCAAAATTCAGCACCCAAATATTAAGAATATCAAAATAGACAGTTGTTAATTGCAATATCAAAATGTAGCATTTGTCAAATTGGACAATTGTCAATTACCAAAATACGCAGTATTTGACATTGAAAATCCAAATGTCAAATGTCAAATTGGACAATTGTCAATTATCAAAATACGCAGTATTTGACATTGACTATCTAAAAATGCAGCAGTTGTCAAATGTCATACTGAAAGTAGTATACGTGTATCCTAAAACACACTTCTAAAGGAATAAGTGGACTCTACTAATTGTGAATTAAATCCTCTAAAATGCATGTGCTGCTAATGCCATATTATTTATTATAATTATAAGCAATAATGTCAAAATGGACAGTGGTCAATTATAAAAATTATGAAAATAAACATTTGTCAAATATTAACAATCTCTAAATTTAGCAATTGTAAAATGTCAAAATGGACAAATGTCTTATCAAAATACACAGTATTTGACATTGACTATCTAAATGTCAAATGTCAAATTGGATAATTGTCAATTATCAAAATACGCAATATTTGACATTGACATTTGACATTTTTAGATAATATGCAGCAGTTGTCAAATGTCATACTGAAAGTAGTATACGTGTATCCTAAAACACACTTCTAAAGGAATAAGTGGACGCTACTAATTGTGAATTAAATCCTCTAAAATGCATGTGATGCTAATGCCATATTATTTATTATAATGTATAACCTATAAATGTATAAACTATTTCCATTTACGACTTTAATCATAAAGAAATAAGAGCAATGAATGATTTAAGTTGTCATATTTCAAAAACATCATACTGCGGCAGTGTTCAAATATCAAAATGTCCACATGTTAACTTTTAACAATCTCAAAATGGAGTAGTAATCAATTAACAATCATGTTAAAATGAACAGTTGTTAATTATCAAAATTATGAAAATGCACAGTTGTCAAATATTAACAATATCAAAATGCAGAAAATATCAATAAGCAATAATGTCAAAATAGACAGTAGTCAAATGACAAAATGGACAGTAGTCAATTATTTAAATAAACATTTGTCAAATATTAACAATCTCTAAATTTACCAATTGTAAAATGTTAAAATGGTCAAATTTCAATTAACAAAATACACAGTATTTGACATTGACTATCTAAAAATGCATCAGTTATCAAATATCATACTAGTAGTATATGTGTATCCTAAAACTTATCCTTATACCAATTGAGAATTAAATCCTCTAAAATGCATGTGCTACTAATACCAAATTATTTATTGTATTTACATTTTTCAGTCTATTTTCTTATACGATATGTTTGTTATTCCGATACAGATCGTTTTATAATTACGATTTTGCTATTGAGCCGACTGACGTATTTGCAGTTGGAATTCAATATTTATTATTTCTCGGTGGGGAAAAAAAAGTTTGTATTTATTTATTTTCGGCTGTCGCAGTTCGCTGTGCACGTTATATTTATAGCATGCAAGCACATATTTTACAGAATAGTTCGCTGTAAATATTTTAAATAGTCGTTGACCGAACGATTCATCAAATAAATTTAAAAAAAACGTTAATAATTTGCACACGACTGAATTCAATATTTTCGTTTCGGAAATGGATCAATTTTGTGTTGGAATATTGTACATTGTTTTCTTATTGAATTTCCTTTCATCTGAGTGTAAACGCAGTATCGACAAGCATAATACCATTGTGGTTTATGCTCGGATTTTCGCCTCACAACGTATACAGTTACAAAGTATGGTTGGTTATTTGTTAAACCGAAATACATACATCATGTGCAGACAGTATCGGATACAATTTTTGCTTTATGAAGTGCCATTTTTTTGGTAATTTGATATCATCGGCTTTATTAGCGAATATTTCAGAGCATGCAAGGAATAATCAATTATCATTACAAAAAAAACTAGTTGAATATTCTATTAAAGAAAACATCTTCTTAATTTGTTTTTGTTGATTGGAACGCAATTTGTGTGCTGGAGAGTGATGCAGAACAGACATGTCATCCATTCGCAAGAGACAATTTATAGAGGTTGAACAAAACAGATAATTTCATACTATCAACGCAAATTTCGAAGTATTCTTTGTTATTTAATTGATTGTGATAAATATAGAATGCTCGATAAGATAATACAATTATAGAAATTCATATAAATATGTTATTCATTTGATTTATGCTAAAGCAATATGTGGCGTTTATGTGCAATTATTTTGTTTTGTTTTACAATTAATTTTGGTAAGTTTACATAAATTAATTTATTATACAAAATATTATATTATGTAATACTTTTTATAGTGACATCTTTGGAATGTTATATGTGTATGGCTTCATTGAGCAGTGACTGTACAGATGCAAATCCAAAGTCTAAAGTGATACAACCTTGCATAGCTGCAGAAAATTTAACGAATATTGAACCGTTTTGTGTTACCGCTATTGCTGGAGGTGAGTTTAGTTTTATTTCATTTTTCATATGAAGTTTTGTTAAAATATGAAAACATTAAAATTAGTTTCAGTAATTTAATACATTCACTTTAAAATAATACATTATATAATATTTTCAATTATATAACTATTTATTTGAAAAAAAGAATACCTAATATGTATTAAGAAATGAATGATTTTTTTTCTGTTTATGAGTTCAAATGGATATTTTCTTATATATTTGTAATATATATTGAATTAAATAATAAATCCGGAGTTTCAATTATTTACTTATGTGTAATATGAGTTTACAGCCAAAATAAAATGACTTACGCTATGTTTTCATGATGTTAACATGTTCCGCTTTTTAAATATGTTTTTTGTACTTTCTTTCATGATAAAGTTTAGTTTTTGGAATATTTCTTCAAAATCAAAAATTATTACATTTCGAAAATATATTAAATATTGATGAGAAATATGTACAAAGAATATATTCTATAAGTTCGTTTTTATCCCGATTTTGACCCGTCTTACCAAAATTAAAATTTAGTCACCGTAGTTGACAAAATTGGTGATAAAATCATTCAAAAATTGAAATGATGATTTTTTTTAACATACAAGAAGTTATTAGCTAATTTTAAACAAAATTTCAAAGTCTTTAAATATAAGTACTTTTGTATAATTTATTGGTGGTAACATGCATTTAAATTGTAAGTATATTTTGTACAAAAATTTGTAAGATTATAATGATACTTTTATAATATGACGTATTTTATTTTGCAATTCCCAAATTTTTAGATTTCAAATTATTTTAGTTCAATCAATTCTTCATGCAACGAGAAATCCATATCGACTGTGGCGTTCCTGAATTAATATATTATTGTTAATTTATAGTTTGAAATTGTATTTAGACAGTAAGAAATTGTTTTAGTTTACTTCGTAAGATAGTACTTTAAATTTAGGTCTCTTTTTTACTGAACTTTCGACATAGATCCATAAATACAAGTTAAAATTTCGAACCGCGAACATTCATTATCCTTGAGCGCGTCCACTGCACTATATAATGCAGTTGGTGGAGTGAAATGAAGTGAGTACAATGGGACCGAAAGAACAAATGGGCGAATTCGGCTGCAAATGGATCTCATTCATATTCCCTGCGGTGTGTGGAAGTCTCAAGCTCGGCGTTTTTTTTATTCATAGTGTTTGCTTGAATCAATCTTTTAAGCTTCTTCCAAGTTTCTTAAACGCTCAAAATTACATTTAGTGCTGCAGGATTAACTTCATAACTGAAGCTAATCAACATTCAGAAGTGGTAAAGGTAATTCTGTAAGATTATTTACAAATTAACACTTCTTATGCAGAAGGTAATAAAACTATTATTTGTTATTGTATATTTATTTAAACTTGGATAATTTTACTGTCTAATCATTAATTTATAATTTATTTCATTCATAATTAATGTAATGGAAGATGTGACTGAAACTTTTCTTTTGTTGTGATGAGTTTAAATACGTATGATAATATCAAATTGTTAATATATAATTTAAACGAAGTTGTAAATTTGGTGCTTTCGAGTGTTTCAGTTGTTGAGTATTCATTAACTTAAATGGTGATATAATATTCGTATTTCTTGAATAGCATTAAGAAAATTTGAATTATTTTGTTGGTAATATATATTTATCTAGACTTGAAATTAGACCGAATTGATTACATTATTTAATATTCTTTTTATGTTATTTTGTTTATTTGAAATTTTCAAACCGTACTATAGTGAATCCGCGCTTAAATAAGTCACACTATTATACATGTATTTTTTTTATTCAGTATATGTATGTTTATATGCCTTTACTTCTTTAAGATGTTTTCTAGTAGACTTCGATTTAAATGCAAAGTTAGTAAAAAAAATATCGTTGCAAAGAAGACTTGAATCCTGAGTAAAATTCGGGAAATGTGCAGGGTCTCGGCCTTAAGGCTTTTGACTGCCATTAGGAAGTTAGAAAAGTATTCTCCGACATTTCCCATGTACCGGACAAAGTGTAGTTCTCTTTTTATATTTTGCATGAAAGCAGATTCAAGAAAAGAAACAGGAAGTAGGTCTTTAAGCTCTTTACGTGATGGTGTCAGTGGGTTTAGCATTTGCTCAGCTGAATTATGCAAATCAGGGAAAGTGACGTTAATGACTTAATTTCAAATTCTGAAGATTAAATTTTGCTAATTCGTCGAGTCGTAGTCGTCGGTTTATCCAATTTTCACGGTTTGGGGTGAAATTCTTTCCAAGTATAATACCTAATAAAGAAAACATTCTAATTTTTTATGCGTACAACCTTTATAATCTAAATCTAATTAATTTTAAATATTGTAGTAACAGTTCCAGATAGGTTCCGTTCATACCTGGGACTCTTTGAAACGATCAAAGATTGTATAAAAAAAATATAATTTTTATACAATTTATTTTTAAGTTGCTTGAAATTTAATTTCTTTGGAAATTTTCAAATCTGAATATAGTGAATCCGGACTAATTGAAGTCGCACTCTCCGAAGTAATCAATTTTGAAAAAACATAATAATTTAACAAAATTACGATCAAGGTAGTTCTAGATATAATCGAAATACATATTATAAATTTTGCAAAGTGATAATTTCTTTCTTAACAAACTTAAATGAAAATTAAATAGTAGTTACAGCACATATTTCAAATATCTATATTTTTGGTAAAATAATACAATTACTAAATATGCATAATTTTTAGTATAATTCAATACATACTTCACTTTAGTATTAGAGTATTGTATAAAGGAGGGTTTTCCTAAACTTTTTCGATTTGCGGCGCACTTAAAACATTAGATTTTTTTCACACACAACACTCTCCCCACAATCAAACATCACAAAACACTCACTCAAATACCAAACCATGTAAAAAATTTTATGTAAACTCACCCGCAAATTAACCCAAATGTAACGCTTCCTTTTTTTCTTTTTATTTAACATTGTAATATGTCTCAATCCGAATAAATAAACTGAAATATATATTTAGTTAAATCTACAAATATTTTGAAATAAAAAGTTATGTAATCAAAGTGATAATGCAAATAAATATTACATTTCCATATACAGCTTACAATTCAATTTTACTCACTTAAAATTTTGGAGATTAAGTAAAAAAATATTTAAAATTTTAAGTAATGAAATAAGTTTTATTCAAACTTTATTTATAATATATTATAACAGTTTAGACAATTTTGATCTATTTGAGAAAGAAAAAACTGTAAAATCTTTATGGATCTCATATTTTCTATAATTTAACTGAAAAATTAAGAAATATTGAAACATAAAATTAATAATATTATCTGATTTCATTCGTATATATGATTATGCTTTAGTTTTATTTAAGTTTCGTGTGGTCATATTTATTTCAGTTTTACATTTTATGAAATAATTTAAACGTTTAAAATATGTCTTTAGAAATACTATTGTTCTTATATTTTAGTTAATTTAAGACTTAATATTATATTGGATATATATTTGAGTATGGATTGCGATGCGAAGTGCGAATTAATAATGTCTTTTCATTAAATCCGACAAGATGAAATCGCTATAAAGTTAAATGAAAATCCTCCAATTACCCATGCCGGCAATTTTAATCCATTAATTGGGATATGGATTGGAAGATAAGGAGGATTGTTTTAATGATCAGTTTTACCGAACTTTGCAGATTCTCCGGCGATGGGCAGGAACTTCCTGAGAGGATGCGGCTATATTTACTCCGGTCAGGACATCTGCAAGTACATAATCGACAATGGAATTGCTGAAGAATGTAAATCCTGTAACAAGAACCTCTGCAATTTGGATCTTCTACCAACAGCATGGAACAATAATAATGAAATATGAAGATTTTGATTTGTTTTAACTGTAGAAATATTAAGTAAACTGATAATGGAAATTCGATAAAAGATAAATTTAGTGTAGAAAGTTGTATTCATTAAAAAATATTATTTATGTAACAATTTGGATAAATAAAATATAAATTTATATGATTTTGCAATTTTTTCAACGTTTAATAGCAACGAAGAAGAATTAATAAGAAGAAACTAATGAAACAAAAGATCCATATTTGCATGAAATTTATTGATGAAATAATATTAATATTGAATAATGTAATAGAATGAGATGAATTTGTTTTATATTTATTAAATTTGGTGAAGCATGTAACATTACCAAATTAATTGTAAAATAATGAAATAAATATTTCTTTTATGAAATATTTCAATAAAATTATATTGTGTCAAAATTTGGAATTACAAGAATACAGGACCCGTAGAAAGAATCTCTGCAATTTGGGCGTTCTACCAATATAGAGCGTCCATAAATAAATAAATATCTAAGATGAACAAGGAAGATCCATTGATTCGTAACTTATTTAACACAATTTAGGAAGTCTTGAGAAAAAAAAACAACTTTCTGAGACTTGTAATAAATAAATCACTGAAGTTTGGTCGGATAGTTTTCATTAAAAGTTTCAAATGAAAAAAAAAATAGAGAAAAGTAAGAGTGAAGTGCTAAAGGGGTCGTCTTTAAAAGAAACATCTTCTGCTCGAGGACATTCCGGTTCGGTATTTCCTTTCTCGCCGTGAGATGATTCAATTTCGGCACTCCGATGGATTTTTATGTGAATCCGATTTTTACGGGTTTCATATTTTCAGTTCGACGCTCCACGAAAAAAGAAAAAAAAAACCGTGGACGTCGTCGTTCCTCGTCCGCCCGCATATTTTTACTGAAATAAATCCGGAACTGCAGCAAATGCACTTCGGATGTAATCAGATTGGGAATTGCGTTCAAACAACATTATCGATTTGGCACTTCATCGAACCTAATTGATTTCGAACAGTCCAATGATAAAACGGTACCTTTTAACAGTTCATTCCTTCATTTATACTTATCAACAATCTCTACTTGTTACTTAACTTTATCTAAAATTGCTGTAGTCAAATTATTTTTTTTCCATCTAAATTAGAACACAAATCAGAGAAAATAAATAAATGGGATAGGGATGATGAAAAAGTGACTTTAGAAATAAGAATAATGCATTTCGATTTGCTCTCCGAAATGCGAGTAGGGAAAAATATCATTGAATAAAATTTAATTAAAACTTTAAATACGGAACTTTTCGTGTTATTGGACTCGGGAAAATATAGCAATTTATTTTAAAATACCCTTTTTGCAGTCTTCTGCCGCAATGCGAAAAATCTAAACTAAAAAAACTAAATATGTGGATTAAACAGTTTAATTAGTTTACGAATCTATAGAGAATTAAAGATGAACAAACAAGCAAACTTGCATAACTACAATTTGCTTAGTAAATATTTAATAATGTTTAGGTGCTATCCTCGATGCGTTTAATAAAGGAAAAAAAACAAAACTCGTCGCGGTATGAATCATTAATTGGACGTTGCTTTGTGATGAGGAAAGTCTCCTTAATTATTCTATTTTTAGAATAATCCGAACGCCAGTTTGAGCATCTCTGATAAAACGTTAATTTGCTTAATGGATTTGCGAAAGATTAAAGGCGGGATGTATCTGAAGGAAGAAGTTAAGGCTGGGTGCCACGTGCTGGGTTAGTCAGATCAACTGGCGATTAAGAATCATCTGTATCTTCATCCACCTTGCCCTTTGACTCGGTTAAACGAAATTTGACAATTTGAGAGTGTTCAAAGGGAAATTGGTACATCTACATTTATAGGTTAACTAACGAATACAATCGATTTTTTTGAAGAAAATTTAAAATTGATTTTCCATATTATTTTTTTTCACATTTAATTTAATTGTTTACAATTAAAGTTTCATAAGTTTTTCTGCTTCATAATTTTACAATACACTTTTTTTCTTTATTTATATAGTTTGTGTGTATTACAATAATTTTGCATTTCTTAAGTATAAACGAGTGCAATACGTTTTTTGCACTATCAGTGTTTTTTTATAAATAGTTTTGACCTATATTTTAGTAAGTAAAACTTTTTGGATTTCAGAACCACAACTATTGTACTTGCTAGTATTGAGTAAGTTTCAAAGTCAGGTACAATAAAGTATATGTCAGTAAATACATTTTACTTTAATCTCAGCAAAGCAGATTTAAAATTTATTAATATTTTTTCTGATCTATTTGTTGCAGCTGTAAGACGTTTGTGGGAGCAAACATAAAAGTATATTGAAGCACCGCAGGGCGCGCTTCTCCTTTCCTCTTTCATCTTATTTTTTTTTAACATATACAGACACAAACACATTCTTATATAAATAAAGAACACGGATATTCGGACTGTGTAATGCAATTTAATGTTACGTAAGGCAGTAAAGGCAAGTCGAGGATGTTGTCTTGCGTCGAACACTTGCTGCTTCTTTCCCTGTACGATCATCGTTAACAACGCGAGACGCGTTCATTTCGACTCATTTAGTACGCCTTCAGTTCTCGCTACACATCATTTCTTGTCCTCGTCGTCTCCTGGAATTCTCATGAATACATTATGAATGCTTCTATCCAAATGACGTGCTTCAACTACAGACATTTGAGATTTAATAATAAATTATTTTGAATTATTTACCATTTGCTGGTGCAAATTTCATCTGAGCTTACAAATGTTACTTCAAATTTATTCAATTGTGGCTACAGGACAAAATAATTGTATAAATATTACCACTTTTCTGCAAATAATATAAATTTGTAAACCATATTTTTACAATTTTCTTCAAAGTATTAATATAAGCAAAGAAATATGCAAACATATAAATGTATTTCGTGTTGATTTAACGTTTGTCATGCGTAGAAACAGCTGAAATTGTTAAGAATAAATTAGAATGTTTACTTTATAAATATTTATTTAATTTATTTAACCAAAGAGTCAAAAGATCCTTTGGTCCCAAGAACTATGGACCATAGTCTTTCCGAGTTTGTAGTTATAGTATATAGTAATATATTCAATGTAGATTTAAAAATAAAAACAGGTGTAAGAATGTTGTAATAAGCTAAATGGAGACTAGGTGTTGACGGTGACAGTTTCAACTCTTGACCTGGGTTGTTCAGGTCTAACATCAGAAAGTACTCCCGAAATGTATATTTTTATAAAATAGTCCTTTGTGCATTTTATCCCAAATATACTGAACAGATGCTGCAATGATTCTTAATTTTAACGTTGGAAGTTGCTATTGATATTATGTCTTTGGAAAACCTATGATTTATGACAGAAGCCTTTAGGTGGTTCCTAATTTTTTTGTTGTTGATGTCTAGATACAGTTTCGTTAAAACTTTTGCGTTTTATATGGAAATAATTCATTGCAGTTGTTTTACTCGTCTATAGGCCACATACATGCATATCTTTAAAGTATGTGATCACTTCCAACTTCACCGAGTTGATTTTTAGTATGAATCCAGACTTAGTTTGGACGATGCAATCGTATTTGTTGGATGTTTTCTTGGACCACAGATGGGATAGCTGTGAATAAGTGATACTTTCGCGAGTGCTTCGCGAAAAAATGTTGGTGTAGCAGGTATATGTAGATATTGGAAAATAAAACTCGAATCTCACAAAAATTAGTAAGAAAAATTTAGCGGTAAACGATGCAGAATCTCAAACTGAACAGTTTATAAATATAATCGAGATATTTCAAATTGTAATATTAAAATATGTTATTAAATAATATAAAGTGTATATAAGGGAATGAAGTTCATAAATAAATAAATAATTTACTTCCTAAACTGAAAGTGAAAATGGTGAAAACATATAAACTCGTCTTCGGGTAGAAACAGTAGTAGCACGGATAAAAGAGTATCAGCAAGTATAAAAGATCTTCAGAGATGATCCATCCTAAATGTTCAAAGGATGAGAAAAATAGTATGTGTATTTTCAGTGATAAAATATGCGTCAAGGGTAGCAGCAATAACGAAAAGAAAAAATGATATCATTGATAATAAATCAGGAATGCCTAATGCCTAGTGTTGTTGAGTTAACAGCAAATAATCCTGTGCAGTAAACCTTATGCCACAAAAACAAAAATTGCAGGATGTTCAAATGTGTCAAAAACAGGAAGAGCAGTTTAATCGGGTAATAAAATGGTAAAAAGTAATATTATATGTACTACATTCATTGCAGATAAATTAGACTTATTGAAGAACCGTATGCTATTATCAAGCCTACTTAGAGAAAATGACGAACGAACAGTTGTTCAAGCTGGAAAGCTAAAACCCATACATTAAGACGGATTCCGCCTAGCTTTGGAAATATAACGCTTAGAAGCATTTCAAACAAAGCTTGCATATGTGGAGACTGAATCCACCACCAAATATTATTAAGAATCAAGTGAAGCAGCCCAAAAAGGAGGTTATCGACAATAGGAAAAGGCAGTTGATCACCCCATGCGAAGGCAGTCGATAGCAAGACGTTGCACTAAGCACTAAGACGTTGAAAATGACACCGCTTATGGCCAGATAATCAACTTGTTATAATATATATTTGTTAGTAATAAGTAATATAATAAATAATAATAAATAAAAACAGATAGGGTTAATTTAAAAAACATATTTCCTTTCATTTCTCAGCATGATCGCAGAGTTACAACGCAGTAAGTTTTTAATTAAAGAACTCTAATTATTATTGTAATTCCAAAAAGGAAATGCGCAAAACTAAACAGAAATTATATTATCACTATGGTGCAACTAATTTTATTTTTGAACTCCAATAACGTTTGCTAATGGAAAAAGTCATAAATTGTTATATCTGTAATAAAACTGTACATTTTTAGATGGAATGGAAGTTTTAAATGAAACAAGTAGAATGGAGTACAACGAAAAACGCGAAGGTAATAACTTAATTTGAACGTTGATGGACAGTTGCATTCAGGCGCTCTACTAAGCTAAATTGATGTAAACTTTAATGTTATAACAAAACGTGCACA